CGGCTGGTGTTGCAGAGGAAAAGAGTGCTGCTGGAACGAGAGATCGCCTCTCTGGACCGAGACCGAGCCTCACTGGAGAGGGAGAGGGCAACGATAGAGAGAGAAAAGGCAGTGATAGAGAGGGAGAGGATGATGGTGGAGAAGGACAAAAATGCTCTTAGCAGGGACCGACTGGCTTTGGAGCTGGAGAAAGCCAGACTGGAGAGACTTGTTGCACCAAAAGGAAGAACTGAGGAGGTTACAGAAGACAGCAGCAAGGTGACACACTCAGATGTCACGGACAGGAGGGAGCGGTTACTTTATTTGTTTGAAAAACTTGTTGAACATTTTTAAGAAAAGTCTCTCCACATACAGTGCTTTGGGAAATATTTAACTTCAAATGATTTTTATTTTTACTTGGTACGTGTTTTTTATTCTGTGCAAAACTGCCCTTGAAGAAACATACATTTAATATTTATGAGCATTTTTCTTCTTTGCTGCATCTACATGTAGTTCAAGATCCACAATATACTTCATCTGTTAGTTGTCAATAAAATGTTAATCCACTCCTAGTTCAGAGAGGTCTTCAAAACAACTTTATTCACTTGTGGTTATTCCATACAGAGCACACAATAGCAAGCTATTAGCATTATTCTTAACCCCATCCACACCCCACACCCCCCAAATCAAAAACTAGTCTTTAGTTGATTGACTCTCTACATTAGAGTGTTTGGTTTAGGCTATTGTGCATGGTCAGAACATCACTTTTTGAAATGTGATATAACAAATATTATAGTTCATGTGAAAAATCTGCTTTCAGAATATATATTTTTATATTACAGTACAGACTTTACAACAAGTGAGTGTGTTTAAATGCATCTTTTATTGCATTAGTTACTAAATTTGCCCTTCATTAAGCTCCAGCTTCAGTATGTTTGTTAGTATACATTTGCAAATATGTTAGACTTGTCATTAATATTAATATTACATTTTTTTACAAAACATATTTAAACAATATTGTGTTGTTTTTTTTCTGCCCATCTTGAACAGACGTTAAACATAAAACATGTGACATGAGGGTTTTTAATAAACTGTTGTTTAATCCTTATCAAATTGCAGAACATTTTGGCTTTTGTTTGTTTGTGTGTGTATTTGTATGTGTGTGTACTTCCATTTTGGTAGTTGATAAATTGAGAGAGTGATAGTTTTAATGTGTATGTGTGTTGTTGTGTTATAGCTGGCATAGAATCCTGAACAACAGGAAGAAGGTGGAGTAGAGCACCGTATGTATTTAGTCGCCAGAACCTTACCAATCCATTGTATACTGTATGTTAGCAGCATGTTTGACACGTTTAAAATATGCTGTTATAACCGATTGTTTGAGGATTGAATAAATGGTATATGTGTCAGCCTGTGTGCTGTTGTGTGTCAGTATGTACAAAGACGGGTACATGTGGTTGTATTTGTGGGAGTCAGTGTGCAAGAGTGTAGGTACACATCTGTGTGGTTAAATGAGATTCCCGATGGGTATACGGGGCAGGCAGATGTAAGCCTGTGGGGTCCTGCTGAGGTTGATGGGGTTGCCGTCCAGACGGATGTCCTCCAGGGCATTCCAGATGTAGTTGAAATCTTTCAGGTTGCAGAAGGTGTCCTCGTGCATCATCTGAATATTGTTACGCTGCAAGAGGAGATGGGAGAACGCATCAGAATCCACCATGTATTTTAGATTTTGATGAGGCTAATCAGCACAGTAGAGAGATATTACCATTACAGTTGAGAGTAGCGCTCATAGTCAATCATGGTATGAATTCTACATTCTAAAATGCTATCAAGTTAGACAGTAATCATGCCAGTCAGAAACCTTTTACCTAACTGTCCAGTAAATTCTTCAAAACAGTTAAGAGCTGTGACTGACAAGGTTGCTGAGGGGAGCTGCAGAGTCCAAAGAAAATTCTCTGTGGGGGACTCCTTTCACATTTTCATTAAATACACTGTTACAAATTTGTTGAAATATATCAAATAAGTGAGTACTAGATGTACAGAGATGACCCATTCATGTCTTTGTGAAATGTGTCAAATCTGACTGAACTTTTGAGGCTGTCCAGTGCCCACTGGGATAGAGAAAGGGGGTGGGACTGACTTCTCATTGATAATCCAGAAGGGTTCCTGAGCTGTTCAGTGACAACAGATTGTAGCTTCTGGGCTGCTTTAAAGGTCTTGCACACTTCTAGGTCTGTCCACACAGGTATTTACAGTACTTTCACTACTTGTCAGGGCCATGCGGGCATGTGTGTGCTCAACTGACATCTTTCTGATTCTCCTGTTCTTCTTCATGAACAACCTGAAAAACACCTTTCATTATTTCAGATTGCCTTTTCAATTAAAATTTTTATGTACCTTATTTTCATATTAAATAACACCTTTAAAAAGTCCTACTCCCAACAATGCAAAGAACCTGCTATATGCTTTGAACATTTCAAGGTTGGCCAGTAGTGGGCAGTGGTGAGACATGACACCAGAACAGACATACTGTACCTGTAGGTGTAGAGATCGCAGGCTATCCGGTAGAGGCACAGGGATGTAATCAATGTGGTTGTCTGTTAGGTACAGGTACAGCAGGCGAGTCATATCCTGGATACAGTGAAAAAAGATATAGATCATTACTGGCTGAGACCTGAATTCAAACACATTTTCAGGTAATCTTGTCAATGCACGAGTGTTGTTTCAAAAAAGATGTAGGTGTTTAATGCTCTTTGGTACATTCAGCCACTCATGTAACCCTCTTAATCTGGCAAACAAAGTGGCTATTTATTCATTCCATTATCACAAGATTTTGTAATTTATTTTAAAAAAATGTTCTTGACAGAATATCAGTATCATGAGAACTCTGAAACGTGCAATCCAGAGTTAAAACCACTTAAAAGACTACTATAGTGTTGAGTGAAGGAGCCCCAGCAGTACTGGATATTAATATTTGAGAATTCATCTAATCTAATTATGATTTATTTGATTTTTGTGCATAAACATGGAATTAGCAAACATTTTTAAATATGGATCCTTTAAGATACGCACAGAAAGAAAAACTATATAATTGCTATTTCCAAATTACCTCATATGTCATTATATTTTTGCCTCTTTTGTACTGCAATATTTTTGACCTATTGGAAAAGATACAGTATACACCATTGTGATAAAAGTGTGTACGTACTTTGAATGCCTCTTTGTGAATACCCTTGCTACCAATGTTGTTGTGGCTGGCATCAATCAGGGTCATGGTCTTTGGGACAGCAGGCAACTGTGAGATGTGATTTTCACGGATCACCAGCTCCTCCAGCTCAGGCAGACCCAAAAATGTTCTGTCCTCGATGATCTTTATCTCGTTGGCGGTTAGATCAATCCTCTTCAACTTGTCTGGAAGGAGGTGAGAAAACACACATCAGTGAAAGTAAAGGATGTGATTAAATGCTTGATGTTCATCATTATATTTAGTTCTAGTGTAATGGTCATACATTTTTCATTCAAACAGGAAACATACTCATGGAGGCGAAGTCAGACTTGTTGATCTTGGTGATTTTGTTGTAGCGGGCATAGAAGTGGGTGGTGTCTTTAGGGAGAGGTGGTACACTAACCAGCTTCAAGTCATCACAGTAGACAGAACCACCGAGGCACGTGCACAGCAAGCAGGTGGGCATACCTGGAACAGATGGATAAGAAGGAAGAGAAGAGGAGAGGGAGGGAGTAAAATATGAAAACTTAGGAGGCAGCATGAATGGGGATTCAGAGAATAAGCTTGATATCACCAAATCCTCAAGAGGGGCTATTCCACAGGGCAAAGTCAGTCAAGACAGGATGTCAGGATTCGTCATTTTGCAGTTAAGTTCTAAAGAAAACTGAGACTTTACATCATGCTTCTTTGAATTTAATTCTTCAGTACTGACCTGGGAGGATCACAGGTTCATCAGGTTCTCCAGGCCCTGGCAATTCAGAGCTCACTGAGCCTTCTACATTGCCAGCAAACTCCTGAGGGGTTTCTGATGTAGTCGGAAGCAGCCCCTCCTCTTGTTAGAGACAAGATTAGGTGTTAAAGGAACTAGTTAGAACAGCATGGGTATGAAGCAGGACGTCTGGCAATCAGTAGCCCACTGTTTGCCACAGTGATAAGTTACACACAGTATATTAGCAGTGTTAACCAAGTTTTGTGGCATTTAACTGATGAACTGAAGTTAAATGAAAATGGCTTTTTGGTGTTAATAACAAGAAATGTGATATGCTTATTGGTTACAAACAATGTGATTGTTAGAAAAAAAACAACACTTTCAAAGGGAAACCAGTTCATGTAGGTTTGGTATTTAGAGATTCAGTTGCCTCCATGGTGGGATGCTAAACTAGATAATCACAATAAAATTAATGAATAGCTCAAGACATTGCTCAAGTAGAGCTATTGTCTTTTTACTCTTGACCAGGTACAGATGGTTCAGTCATTTCTTTCCCAGTTCTTGTCTAACAACTGTGTTTCACAAAAACACTTGCAAAGCTAATTTTGACATTTGTTTACTAGCTTGCAGACTTCTTCCTTGTTTTCCTGGTGCACTGCTATGCTAGCAAATATCCACTGGTGCAATAGCAGGAAACAAAGTTCAAAATCAAAAGCTTTCCTGTGTGTCCTTGTTCAGGATACAAAAAACAGGGACTCACTCATAAATACCAATGCTCCATAGGACCCCCAGTATTCAAAAACTCCCCACAATGTCTTTAAAGCTGCGGGTTCTCAAACAATTAGGCAGCTGCGGAGAGCAGGGAATCAAATAACTAATTTTCCCAAGTTTACTGTGAAATTCAGGAAGAGATAGACAAAACTGATAAACGAGGAACAGTTTTTAAAAATATTAATTGGCTCCCTAGGCTAGCAACATCATTAGCAACTTGTGTAATTTACCTATTCATTTTAGTGTAGTTTTTTAAGTGACATAAGGGCCTTAGTCATAACTCACGCCGTAGATACTGACCTTTGTCAGTGTCAGGCCCCAGAGTTACGTCAATGATCTCTGTATCTCCAGAGCCAGAGACACCAGAAGCTCCAGAGGCTCCAGAGATGCTTACATCTCCAGAGACTCCAGTATCCCCTGAGGCCCCTGAGATTCCTGAAGCTCCTGAGATTTCCCCAGAAGCACTCAAGGCCTCCTGGGGTACAAGTTCATGAATAAGGGGCAGCTCCTCCTCTTGTTTGAGCCAAGGGTTGGGGTTAGGAGACATGAAGTTAGGAGGATGAGGGATGAGATGGACAATCAATGAACAAATTAGTCAGTCAATCACACTCACATTTTAGATGAGACAAGATGTTAGAAAGACAATTATTGCGAATAACACAAATACAGTGCCACTCATTAGAACAAATGGGTAAGATCAACATTTAACTACTTTAAAAGAGATGCAGTTAAATGAAATTAAGACAATAGCTCAACATAAATTACACAGAGTAAGACAGGTTAATGATACGCTGATCAACAAATAGTGCTACACAGCCTTACTGACAAATGTCTGCCCAGATAAGCTACTAACCTCCAGATATTAATGTTATCCTGGACTCACCAGAGTCCCCAGAAACCCCAGAGCTTCCAGAGGCTCCTGAAATCAAGAGATAACCAGAGAACCCAGAACCAGACTGGTCCCCAGATTCTCCAGAGCCTAGGTGGAGTTCAATGGGAATCCCAGAGCCTTCAAAGCCAAAGGGGAGTTCAGTGGAAATCCCAGAACCTCCAGAGCCAAGGGGAGGTTCAGTGAAAATCCCAGAACCTCCAGAACCAAGGTCCCCTGATGCTCCAGAAAGGGAGAATTCCATAGTATCCCCCGATCCAGAGAGATCCCCAGATCCCCAGAGATTTCCAGATATCAAGATGTCTCCAGATACCAAGAACTCCCCAGATCCCCCAGAGCTGAGGAGCTCTTCAGAGGCTCCAAAGATCAGAACAAACTCACCGGAGCTCCCAGAGGCTCCAGAGACCAGTAGATCTCCTGAACTCCCAGACCCAGAAGCCCCAGAAGCCCCAGAAGCTGCTGAGGCCTCAGACCCTACGAAGCCCCCAAAATCCCCGGAGACAAGAAGGATGTCAGTGGGTGTCAGATGCAGCTCCACTTCTTGTTAGAGACAAGATTAGGTATTAATACACAGACTGAAATTATTCATTAATCAGACTGGAGTTGACGATGATGACAAATGGACATGACACATTTAACCTTTAACAGCTAGTTAAATGGATGACATGCACAGGAAAAAGATGACTGCTGAAGATGCAGACAATGTGTTTAGAGGACATGGGTTTAGTGCACCTCAGATTTTGATGTTTTTGTTAATCATGGGAAATGGTGCTTACACAACTCCATAGGCCGAAGGAGTGCCTATCACTTTTAGAGAGCTTTGTATATGAAGTGACTTTAATTTTATGAGTGTGCAGACTTAAATGTATGTGCTTTTTCAGACCTTTCTGTGTGTCTGGGCCCATGAGAACCCCAGATCCCCCTGAACCTTGAGGGATGAGCTGGGGTTTTAAGGGCAAGTCGTTCTCCTTCTCCTCTTCCTCTTCTTCCTGTTCCTCCAATGAGGCCTCAGGTACAGGGTAGTTATAATCAGGTGGGGCCAGTGTTCCAATCTCTATCTGAGGGAAAGACAGCAGCAGCAAGTCAAAAGTGCAAGAGAATCTCACTTAAGAACTGAGTAACCTGCAAAACCTGCAAAGCTCTAGATTGCTACATGTTCATGACACACAGGCAGGCAAAACACATACATATGTAACCAATAAACAGTGTACATGCTTCCAAACTCAAATGTTTGGCAACTCAGTGAAAGGTTCTTAGGCAATCTGTTGTGTAGCAAGACTTCTATTTCTATCAGTAGATGGCAATGAAGTGTCTAGATTGATGTATCCACAGTGATTAATCTTTGCACTCACCACTAACCGACACATTCTGCATTTGTAATTGCCATAACAACAAATATCTCACCAACCATACATGCCATAGTCTTTGTTTTAAGACTTGATATTCATTCTTTTATTCATTTTTTAAGCACATTCTTGAACTGATCAGTAATAAATTCAAGGTTCAAATTTTGTCAGATTTGGTCAAATTGTTGTAATCTTTATAGAACTGTTTTCCAGACTATTTGTATATATGGTCACACACTCAGTGTAACACATTTTTTCCAGGCAGTCCAAAGCTCAAAGTTGATGGTGTTTGTTGCCATTATTTTGTTCCCTCTCCTAAACTTAAAGGCTAGACATACTGCAAAGGGATTATAAAGTAAAACCATACTAATACCTCAGCTCCTACCTAATTTCAAAAAGATGAATTTACTTTGTAAACAAAGGCTAAGCAATTTTCCTCATCAAGTAGGCCAGCATGTAATTTTTATGTTGTGAAATAAATTCAGAAACATGCTCTGCCAAACCAAGCAAGCTTTGTGGATTACAGAGCTTTTGGCCCCTTTATTAAAAGCTTCAGGCATATACACCTGGTATTATAAGTAGATTTACAGCTATTACATTTGCTTTTTGATGTTCTAGTGTTTGATGAAACCTGCAGTTTGGTCATTCTCCAGACGAGGGCAATGAAACCCCACACACTGCCACAGGTAATACCTGACACTCTCTCACGCCCAACTAGGCTGACTCAACCCTTCATAAAGGGAATGGTCCTTGTGGAACCAAGACACACATGGTAGCTGCAAGAATGCATATCTGAGTCTTTTCAACTGCTTTCAAACTAAATAATCAGATGTCAATAAGCCAGGATGTAATCAGAAATACAACTGAACACAAAGTCATGCAAAAGCTTTAAATGCAGCAGGAGATATCCAGCACAGAATGTCACATTTTAAAGTTTAGCAGAGACACACTTTGGGATACAACAAGGTAGGCCTTTGAAAGGTCTTGCACAGTTACCTCACTGCAGCTTTCCCCTTCATTTCCCCCTTTTCCAACATATACACCCAAGGGGAAAGCAGACAACAACAAAAAAACGTTCTTGAAGCAGCATGGGAATATCGAAGGCACAGAGAGCGACAGTGAATGTGGGCATCATGCCAAAGCCAGATGGTTATGTTGCTGCTGTATATGTTGTATTTCAATTAGTAGACACATTCTGTAAGGTGCTTCAGCTTCAAAATGCTAGATGAGTTTTAAGGCTGAGCCCTCCCAGAAAATCTTCACACTGGTTTACCAACTGCATCCTTTACAACAAACAAAAGGACAAAGTAATTTCAATTATATAGTTTTTCTTTCTGTGCGTATCTTAAAGATCACCCCAGGTGGCCAATGCTGCACTAGGACATCACCCATCTCATGGTTCATATAACTGTACAATAACATGTACAATGCCAGATTAATTTACAAAATAAAGTCTAATAAAAAGTGATGTGGAACTTTTTGAATCACATTTCTCTCTCCAGCCCAGAGTGAATGTCAAGAGAATTTCTGCACTGTGAAGCTTAAAGGAATAGGTCAACATTTTGGTTTGCACATAGGGTTAAAAGTAGCCAGACACATGAAGCCCCTAGTAAACCACAGTGCATTGATTTTACTGCTCATTTAAACCATATAAAAACCAAATACATATACTGTTAAATGGGTTACTTGGTGGGCTTTAGAGGTGCTGCTAAGCAGATTTTGTTTAGGCAGAGCATGGCTAGCTGTTTCCCCCTGTTTCCAGTCTTTGTGCTAAGCTAAACTACACATAAGACTTTGAATGCATGAGAGTGAAAACATTTTGCTTGGATAACTTTGTAGATGAGCCTTCACAGCTCGAAAAAGGGACAAGCCCTGAGGAGAAAATAGAGACACAAAAGAGTTGGATGTGGAAAGTAAAGACTCAGCATTCCAGAGGCATGAAGCTGATCACTGCTTCATTTCTTGCCTGACGTGTGTGTGTGTGTGAATAAAATCCATTTAATCTTCACTTTATTGCATCCTGTCCATCTGAAGATCTGCCCTCTCATCTTTAAATGTTTTGTCAACGAAATAAAGTGACAGATCCTTGCAAAATGCTATTTCTCAACTCTGCAATTATGAGTCAGAACTTTGTGTTTACTAAGTGTGGACAACAGGATGAAGATGTTTCTAGTAACTCTAAGTGTAATTGTTTCTCCTTCCTACTTCAACAAAATCTTGTGCAATGTGCTGTGTTGAGCAGGCTTGTTATCCTTATTAAAGATTTTCTCATGACAACGCTTCCAGATTGAGCTGTAAAGCCTTGCACCACAGAATTCAGTCATTTAAAATTTAGGCAAGATGTTGTTCTGCAAAGGTGGATGACAAAATAATTCACTGCTTTATGTTTCACTGGATTGTGGGATAGGATTCAAATAAATAGTAGTGTGAGTGCAAGCCACATCAGGTTTAACTTACTGTAAGTCACTGGCTTAGAAAATGTCTGCTGAAAATCCTATGTGGGCAATTTGCATTGTGCTATCTTGACATTGCTTTGCCTTAATTTCCTTTTTACAAAGAGCTATGAATGGGAACATGAAATCTGGCTGCAGCTTGCTATTCCAGCACACCCTGCAGGCTTGCCACATCACACTCAACTTGAGCTGATTTAGAGGGTATTCCTCAAATGTATTTTTCTAGTTAGCAACCCTTCCTGCCATTTGTCACTAGCTGTCCACTCATCTTTTAGAAGCTTTCGTGCAGAATAGAGTGACAAAGGAATTCAGTCCCAGAGGGCACAGCAGTCCTTATGAAGAGTTAGTGTGGGGAAATACATGGAAATAATGTTCCACTTGTTTCCTGTATTTTTCATCTTTGTGTGTCACCACCAGAAATATATACTGTGACCAAAGGTAAAGTCAAAATAGAACCATACATGATGGAACTGTTCTGGTTCTCAGCAATATACACACCAAGAAAATGCAAACATATTCAGCTGCTCTGTGTGTCTGTTCTTGTACTTGCTGTATAGTGAACACCAAAAAAAGTTTTTTTTGCTACAGAGTGAGGACATTTTTGGAAACTGAGGGTTACTTTGTGAAACACCTTTGAGGGTTAAGACTTTTTAGGGTTCAGGTTAAAATTAGGTTTGGGTTAGGGCTAAGCATTTAATTCTGATGGTTAAGGCTAGGATAAGGGGCGAGGGGATGCATTATGTCCGCACACACCCACACTTTTGTGTGTGTGAGAGAGTGTAAGTTATTCTTTTTTTTCAGGCAAGTAATAAACATGCCTATCATTGAGGTATAAATATTATTTGACTCCACAGAAATTGCTCCAGATGCAGTCTGTGGAGGATTGTAGTGCATGCAACTTAATAGAGGCTGACCAAAGAATAAAACTGAAATTGTTACAGCAAGCCGCACACCAAAAGAGCGACTGGACTCAGTAATAGGCAGGACTCAAACTCAGGTCAGAGAAAGATATTTATTTGACAGAGTATGGAAAGGAAAGGAGGTGGCGAGGATCAGACGCGGAGCTGGCGGTGTGGGTCTCAGGCGTTTGGGGCCACTGAAATGACTGGACCACTGGAGGAGCCGCCTGGGGTCGGAGGAGAGGTTTTGGCACTGCGTATATAGCAGAGAAGTAGATTAGGAGAGGGGACAACAGGCGGATGAGGGTGTGATGAAGTAGAGCACAACACAGGTGACCTGCGTATAGAGGACTGCTGGCTCCGGGCTGGAGAGCGTGCTTGGATCCCAGCGCCGAGGTAGGTAGACAGGAACAAGTGTCCACACTTCGCTGGCCCAGACACTTGACACGGACCCCAACCAACGATCGTCGCTCGGCAGCCAGGCCCACGGAGGCATAGGTGGCCTCAGGGGACACTTAGACACTCCTCCGTCATCAGTTCAGAAAACAAAAACACTCCTCCGTCATCAGTTCAGAAAACAAAAACCTAAGATACTCCTCGGTAATCCAACATAAACTCCTTGGTGAGCAGTTCAGAAAAAACAAAGGGCTCCTCAGTAATAAGATCACAAAACAATAAACAAGACATAGAAACTCACTCAAGTCGACACAGTGGATAACATCAATATACCAGAGTAGGACAGTCTTAGTAGACATCAGGATCCAGGACGTGAAACATGCGAAGTCGCCCGGCAGAAGACTGAGAGATCATCTGGCGACGAGGACACACCAGCGCTGTGTTTAAGTATGGTTCAGCTAATTGAGCGCAGGTGT